TTCGACCGCTACGTCGCCATCTGCAGGCCGCTGCAGTACGCCGCCATCATGACCAACGGGATGGTGGTGAAGCTGTCGCTGCTGGCGTGGGGATCCTCCTTCGTGCTGATCATCTCCCTGGTGGGCCTCAGCGTCCGGCTGTCGCGCTGCAGACGCACCGTGTTCAACCCGTTCTGCGACAACCCGTCGCTGTTCAAGTTGTCCTGCGAGAACCTGCTCGTCATCCACATCTACGGCTTAAGCATCGCCATGGGGACGCTGGCACTCTCGGTGTGCGTCGTGACGCTCACCTACCTGAGGATCGCCGTGGTCTGTCTGAGCAGCAAGAACCAGGCGCTGAACCACCGGGCGCTGCAGACCTGCGCCACCCACCTGAGCCTCTACATCATCATGCAGCTGACGGGCGGCATCATCATCATCCTCCATCGCTTCCCGCATTTGTCGGACCACAGGAAGCTGGCGTCCATCTTGTTCCACGTGGTTCCTCCTGCTCTGAACGCCGTGATCTACGGACTGCAGATCAAAGCGGTCAGAGAGAAAATTCTGAATATATTAAACAGGAAAAAAAAGACAGTTTTACCGATGAAATGACACTTTAATGAACTTAAATCCCACCGTGTTCAAACCTGCTGGATGTGACGTCGTCTGGGCTGAACAATGAACTGAAACATGATCAGAATCAGCTGTAAGATGAAGACTGAATGTGCAACGAGATGCTAATTTAAATGAAGCACAGATGTTGTCATAGGAAAGTTTAGCTTTTTAGTTTCCAGATCAATTTTATTTTTTTAATGTTCTCTAAAGACATCCAGAATATGTTTGCTGATACCATTCGATAACGTCGTATAACGCATTTCCCCAAAACATCCTCACAACGCAGCAGACAACATGTTCTTCCATCGTTAATATATTACATTACAGAAACGTCTCAATAATATTCGAAAAACACTCTAAAAAAGCAAAGCGAAATCCTTTTGTTTTCTATTTTTATATATTTAACAATCTTCACACAAACAGCCTGCCTGCATTATATATAATATAATATACAATACTGAAGACAGTTATATTTTAGAATGTATTGTTTTTGTTATATTTATATATATGTAAATATATTTTTTAAGTAATTTCACAGCATTTGTAATGCCACAAGTATTACATACAGTATGGATGATTCTTCTTGAAATTACATAATATTTAAAGAGGAAGAATTAATGTAATGATTTCCTCAGAAATCTCTGTATGTTTATATAATTCTTCAATTAAAAAATTACATTAATAAAGGAATTCATCAAATGTAGTTGTTTAATTTGTCTGATTGTGAAAATAACTGCTGTTGTCTCCTGGAGCTGGCATTTTAACAACGTCAAAGTTGTCATTTTAACAAACATACAACAATGTAATGTTAACTAACTTTGCTATGTTAGCTAACAGTAATTTTAGCTAACATGCAATGCTGTAATGTTAGCTAACATAATAATTTTAGCTAACACACAACATTGTGATGTTAAACTATGTATGTTTTTAGGTAACATAGAACACTGTAATTTTAGCTAACATAGTAATTTTAGCTAAGATTGTGATGTTCACTTATACTATGATTTTAGGTAACATAAAAGACAATGTTTCCTAATGTAATGATTTTAATGAGCATACGTCACTGTAATGTTAGCAACCAGTAATTTTAGCTAAAATACAATGCTGTAATGTTATGTAACATAGTCATGTTAGCTAACATACAACAACGAAATGTTAACTAGCATAGTAATTTTAGTTAACATTGTGATGAACTTAAATTGTGATTTTACGTAACACTGTAATGTTTCCTAATGTAATGATTTTACCTAGCATACATCAATGTAATGTTTGTTAACATCATAACTTCACATACAACATTGTAATGTTAGCTAACTTCATGGTTTTAGTGAACATAGGACACTGTAATGTTTTTTAAGGAACATACAACACTACGATTTTACTGAATGTTGTTACTTAAGCTTAAATACAACAATGCAATGTTAGCTAGTGTTCTGACTTCAATTCAATTTTATTTATAAAGTGCAAATTCATATACACAACATATGTCATCTGACAGCGTTTANTGCTCTGTTACTGCTCTCCATCTCCTATCCTGTCTCTTCATTCTGGACATAGTGAAACTTTAAAATGGCTTCACAGGTAAGACTGAAGGATTCACGGCCTGTACTGGTCACACACCTGGTCCACAGCGAAACAACAAGAATAAGACGATGAAGAATAAAGAATAAAACACACAGAAAACAGAAAGAGAGATAGAAATAAGCAAAAATAAATAAATCAAACTGTCAAACAGAGCAAGAGGAGATGAAATAAATAAATAAATTGCTTGGATGGTTTACTGAGTCTGTTGTTTGAGGCTCAGCAGGTTCACATGTATTCTGAAGGGCGACAAAATAAACATCTCAGGTTTGAAAACATCAAATTTGCAACTTTAAGCCAGAATATTTTACCGGATTTAAGTCTGAGACGGTGCAGCAACACATTTCCTGAATCCTGTCTGAGGCCTAAAACCGAGTAAAGACGTGGAGTTAATCAGCTGCGAGGAGACGAAGGCCCTCAGGACACCGAGCCGGCCGGAAACAGCCCTGATTGGACGACCAGAGGCGTCCTCATTGGCTTATTAAGGTGAGTTCTGGTCCACCTCCGGCCCGACTGGAGGAGGACCGCTGAGCAGGTAAACCAGGCAGAACCGCTAGAACGCTGATCTGAAGGCAAACAGGGAAAACGTGTGATTGAAAGCTGAAACAAAGTGGACTCATCCTGATCCGTCAGTTCTGGTTCAGTCAGAATGAATTATTTAATAATGAGGAGACGACGTGTTGGGGGTGTTTCCATCGGCTCTCATGGCAGCCGATGGAAACAGAACGACGTGAAGACGGAGAGCGAGCGAATGTTTTAGTTGCTGTGTGCTGTTTTCATCGTCCTCCTGCATTGTGGTCCTTCACAGGTTCTTTTTTACGTCTTCATGTCTGTTTATCACTTTGGACACATTTCGCACTAAAACATGTGGCAGTGGTCACAGGACTGGTGGCAAAAGAAGGAAAAGGGTTTCATGATTTGTTTTATAAAAACTGAAAAACATCCAACGTACTTCCAGGTGTTGTCGTGTCCACTGCTACAGAAATGTGACTATTTACCTTTATTTTCTGTCTAGTTTCTGTCTGTTCTGTGCTCACGTCGTCTCCTCTTGCTGCAGATGTTGAACTATCTCCATGTTTCCAGCCTGTATGAAGCTCAGTGTGACTGCTGGTTACACAGAAAAGCTCAGTTTATGACAATCTGGTTGCTGGAAATGGTTCATTTCTGAAATCAGACATGTAGAATAAAGTGGTTTAACGGTTTTAAGCTCAGTTTTGGTTTAATTTCCTGAAGCAGAAATCCTTAACATCTCATCTTTCTCTGCTTTTCCAGTGTCTCGATGATAAATGATGTAATTTTGGTGATTTTTTGCCCTTTAATCCTGTTGTTAGGGTTCAACTAAAAACCTTTATCGTGTTTCAGAATCCAGAAAAGCAGAAACTCCAACTCACTAAACGAGGACGTTTTTGTCTGTATGTATGTTTGAACACAGTTCAGACCCACTGCTGAGATTCTGTTTGAAAAGCTTTTTCAGATTACAGGTGAGCGACACACCTGCACAATGTGAAAACATTCTGTGTCATCGGTTTCCTGATTGTTTCTGTGACCCTCAGCCGCGGCATGAAGAACAAAACCTTCGATCTGGATGTTCTGCAGCTGGAGGGGTTAAAGGTCAGCCCCGAGTCCTCCGTCCCCGCCTTCGTCCTCCTCCTC